CCATAGAGAGCGCGCGGGTCCTCCCGGGGCGGGCGGGGAGGGGGGCCCCCTCTAGCCCCCCGCGCTGCCCTCTCTATGGTGGGGGGGAGGGGGCCGCTCTGGCGGCGCCGTCTCTATGGTTGTCTGTAGCGGGGGCCGCTCTGGTGCCTGTTCCCCGACTCTATGGTGTGCCCCCCCTCCCCCCCGGTGCCGCTCCGGGACCTCTTCTCCGTCTCTGTGGTAAAACCCTTTGTGCCGCCCTGGTGCCTGTTGCCACTCTCTATGGTTTGACCAATGGTGCCGCTCTGGTGCCTCTTTGTCATCTCTATGGTTTGTCTGCCATTGTCGCTCTGGAACGGCTCCCTCATCTCTATGGTAGGACCTTCTCGTGCACCTATGGTGTCTCGTTGTTTCATTTCTATGACTCGACCAATGGTGCCACCCCAGCCCTCCTTCATCTCTATGACCCAACCAATGGTGYCMCCCCAGYCCTCCTTCATCTCTATGACCCAACCAATGGTCTCTATGACCATCTGTATGACCCCCCCGCAGTCCTCCTTGCTCTGTCTATGAAAACAACTCGAGGCGCCGCTCTGGACCCTCACGTGTCCCTCTCTATGGTGCGACTCATGGTGCCGCTCTGTGTCCTCTTCCCTTCAGCTCTATGGTATGACCTCTGGGTGCTCCTCTAGACCCCCACCCCGGCAGCTCTATGGTAGGAGCAAGAGCGGCTCTCTAGGCCCTCCCGTCTCTATGGTATGACCGGCGGGCGCCGCCCTGGACCCCCACCCCTTTGTCTCGGTGCTTTGGCCCATGGGATCCCGGTCCCCACGGTACGTGGTGCCACAGTGGCCGTGAGGCTCCGCCCCCAAACGTGGGCGGGGCTTGACATCATTTCTCCCCAGCAGGGACGTCAAGATGGCGGCGCGTGGGCGGGCGCGGGGCCTCCATGGCGGCCTGGCCGCCGCCGCCCTCCTGGCCGCCCTCCTGCTCCCGGCCGTGTCCTTGTGCCAGGACGTCGGCCACGGGCACGGCCACCACGGCCACTCGCATGAGGACGTCTACCACGGCCAYCAGGACGTCTACCGCGGCCACCAGGACCACCACGGCCACGGGGACATGTACCATGGGCACGGTCACGGCCACCAAGAGCCCCAGGAGAAGCAGCATGGCCATGGGGACGTGTTCCATGACCACCATGGCCACCAAGAGCACCACAGCCATGGGGACATGTTCCATGGCCACCATGACCACCATGGCCATGGGGACATGTTCCATGGCCACCATGACCACTACCGCGGCCACCAGGACCACCACGGCCACGGGGACATGTACCACGGGCACGGTCACGGCCACCAAGAGCCCCAGGAGAAGCAGCATGGCCATGGGGACGTGTTCCATGACCACCATGGCCACCAAGAGCACCACAGCCATGGGGACATGTTCCATGGTCACCATGACCACCACAGCCATGGGGACATGTTCCATGGCCACCATGACCACCATGGCCATGGCCATGACCACCATGGCCATGGGGACATGTTACATGGCCACTATGACCACCACGGCCATGGGGACAGGTACCATGACCACCATGGCCACCACGACCACCATGGCCATGGGAACATGTTCCATGGCCACCACGAGCTCCATGACTTCCACCACGGTCACAGCCACGGCCCCCACGTCCCCATGGACGCTGCCGAGCGCCCGCCCCCCAGGACCCCTCCGCCGGCCCGGCCCAAGCAGGACCAGCTGCAGCTGTGGCTGCACGTGAGTGTCCCCGTTGCCACCGGCCCGGTGCCCGCGTGCCGCGCGTCCCCGGCGCCCACGTGCCCCGTGTCGCCCCGCAGGCCATGGGGGCCACGCTGCTCATCAGCGGYGCGCCCTACCTCGTGCTCTACCTCATCCCCGTGGAGTCGAACGCGCCGCGGCACCGGGCGCTGCTGCGGGTGCTGCTGAGCTTCGCGGCGGGCGGCCTGCTGGGCGACGCCTTCCTGCACCTCATCCCCCACGCGCTGGGTGAGCGGGGGGCGTGGGGTGGCACCTCCCACCGTGGGGTGGCACCTTCTGCCATGGGGTGACACCTCCCACCGTGGGGTGGCACCTCCCGCCTTGGGGTGGCACCTCCCGCCATGGGGTGGCACCTTCTGCCATGAGGTAACACTTGCCATGGGGTGATACCTTCCACCATGGGGTGACACCTCCCACTGTGAGGTGACACCTCCTGCCATGGGGTGACACCTTCTCCCATGGGGTGACACCTCCCGCCATGAGGTGACACCTCCCACCATGAGGTGACACTTTCCACCATGGGTGGACACCTTCCACCATGAGGTGCTACCTCCCACCATGAGGTGACACCTCCCACCATGGGTGACACCTCCCACCATGGGTGACACCTCCTGCCATGGGTGACACCTTCTGCCATGAGGTGCCACCTCCCACCGCGAGGTGACACCTCCTGCCATGGGGTGACACCTCCTGCCATGAGGTGACTCCTCCCACCATGGGGTGCCACTTCCTGCCATGGGGTGACACCTTCTGCCATGAGGTGACACCTCCTGCCATGGGTTGACCCTTCCCACATCCCCCTTCTTCACAGTGTCCCACACACACCACGGAGATGGCCCCAGACCCATGGAGCCCCATGGCCACGGCCACTCGCACCAAGGTGGGTCGGGGTGTCCGGGCGGCGCTGGGGACACCTCGGGGACAACAGCGTCACGCTGGCCCCCGTTGTCCCCCTCGCAGGTGAGGAGCACGCGCGCGTCCTGGCCGTGGGCATGTGGGTGCTCGCTGGCATCGTGGCCTTCTTGGTGGTGGAGAAGTTCGTGCGACACATCAAGGGCGACCATGGTCATGGCCATGGTCACGGTCACAGTCACGGTATGTCCCTGTCCCCCTCCTTGGCCCGCGGTGGTGACAAGGGATGTCCGAGCACCGCCTGTCCCCCCATCCTGCAGGCCCCAAGGCCAAGAGCAGCTCGAGCGAGGGCGAGGAGGACCCCAAAACCTCAGGGCTCCGGGACAGAAAGGCCACCAAGGGCCATGAGAACAAGAAGAAGAGCAGGGAGGTGACGAAAGCACCGGAGGGATCAGGTAGGGGCGGCGCTGGTGGCGCACGGGGGACACACATGTGGGGACATGTACCATGGCCACCAAGAGCACCGTGGTCATGGGGACACATTCCATGACCACCATGGCCACCAGGACAACCATAGCCATGGGGCCTTGTACCATGGCCACCAAGACCACCATGGCCATGGGGCCATGTTCCATGACCACCATGGCCACCAAGACAACCATGGCCACCGAGGCCACCAAGACAACCATAGACATGGGGACATGTACCATGGCCGCCAAGACCACCGTGGCCATGGGGCCATGTACCATGGTCACCAAGACCACCATGGTCATGGGGACGTGTTCCATGACTGCCATGGCCACCAGGACAACCATGGTCATGGGGACATGTACCATGGCCACCAAGACC